TTTTTTTTCTCTCTCCCTCCCAGTGCCAGGTGATGAACAGCTCCGGGCCCTACAAGAACTTCCAGATTGAGGTGAAGAAAGGAGGATATTTCCTGCATGGCTCCAACAAATCCTTCACCTCTCTCAAGGAGCTGATGGAGCACCTCAAGGGGCAGATCCTGCGCACCGACAACATCAGCTTCACCCTAAAGCGCTGCTGCCAGCCCAGACCCCGAGGTAAACCCAGCCTGGGGGGGGTTTATTTCAGGGAAAGCAAATTCCACCAGCAGGAGCTTTTTTTGGGGCATTTTTAGTGCTATTTCCTGCTGTGAAGCTCTTGAGAAAAAATGAGGTTTAGGGTTTTTTCCTTCTCACCCCAAAAGCAGCACAGGAGGGATGTGACCCCTGGACCTTCAGCATTTCCCACTCCCAACCCTTTTTCCAAAAAACTTATATCTTACATAACTTATCCAACTTAAAACTTACAACTTACATAACTTATATAACTAAAAACTTACAATTAAAACTTACATCTTACATAACTTATAAAACTTAAAACTTACAATTAAAACTTACAACTTACATAACTTATATAATTTAAAAATTACAATTAAAACTTACAACTTACATAACTTATATAATTTTAAAATTACAATTAAAACTTTTAACTGACATAAATTATATAACTTAAAACTTACACTTAAAACTCTTAACTTATATAATTTCAAACTTACAATTAAAACTTTTAACTTAATTTATATAACTTAAAACTTACAACTTGCATAACTTATATAACTTAAAACTTACAATTGAAACTTTAACTTACATAACTTATGTAAATTCAAACTTACAACTTAAAAATTACAACATACATAATTTAAAACTTAAAATTAAAACTTGTAACTTACATAACTTACACAACTTAAAAATTATAACTTACATAACATATAATTTTAGAATTACAATTAAAACTTATAACTTTTACAACTTTTAAAACGTGAAACTTGTAACTTTTATGATTTAAGTTCTGTCCCCTCTCACCCATCCCGATCTCTCCCCATAAATCACACCTGGAATATGGGATATTTTATTCCACAGGAATTTTCCCTTTCAGTCAGAAAGGGAAATTTTTTTCAGAAAAAAAAAATCAGAATTTTTTGTGCAGAAAATTCTGTTTAACTCAAAACCAGCGCATATCTGGCTGATAACAACTCCATATTAAAAATACAAACACAAATTTGTAATACAAATGGAAAATCCTAATGTTCAGC